AATTTTTTTTTTTTTTTTTGGAAGACTACTCTTGTGCTCACCAAAATACTAAAACAGTAATATTGTGAAATTTAAAATAACCGTTTTCCTTTTTTATTGTTGTTTATTTTTTTGATGGCAAATCTGAGTTCTTATATCCTGATTCAGTGCTCAAGAAACATTTGTTTACCTATGTTAAAATCAGTTGTGCTGCTTAATAATTTTGGGGAAATTGTGATACTTTTTTTTCAGGAAACTGAAATATAGGAAGTTCAAAAGAGCAACATTTATTTGAAATAGAAATATTTTGTAATGTTATCAAATTAACAGTAAAGTTTGTGTTTCTGAAAATGCTTATTTAATCTACTGATTTTAGGATGGGCAGATTGTTAGAAACCTGCTTTATAATTATATAAATTTATAAACTGCTTTTACAAAATGCAAAACTAAAAAAGGAAAGATGGACATAGCATCAATTGAAATAGGCCTAGTTAAAATACATTTTAAAATACATTTGCTAGCTAAATTAAGTCCAAGATTGACGTTTACGTGACTAGCTGCATCTATTTTTTGTATCCAATAACACATTTATCTCTGTTTTGAGGTACTCAACATTTACATTCTTTCTTTCTTTCTTTTTCCCTCCCAGCTGGACATTGTGGAGTTCATTCCCTCTCTGTTGTATTTTGGCTACACAACCCTGATGGTTTTGTCTTTCTGGCTGCTAACGGGAACGATTGGCTTCTATGCCTCTTATGTGTTCATACGGAAAATTTATGCTGCGGTCAAAATCGACTGAAATAATTCTTTCAGTTTTTGTTTCCTTTTTTTCTGTTTTGTGAAGCAAGCACTGACGTGTAAATTGCTGGCATGAGGCACAGCAGCGCCCCCCCTATGGACTGGAGAAATGAACAGAGATGTGTTTTGTACACCTTTCTGTCCTGCTATCTCTGCCTCAGCAAAGATGTAAAGAAACAACATGAACAGTTCCATTTTTAATGTCTGTATATCTTTTTGCACACACAACATGGGCCAAAGTGTGTCGATTTACTTTTTTCTTTAAGTTTGGGTGGGGATGTTGGTGTTGTGGGCTGGGTCTCATGCTTTTGAAGACATTGAGGGTTAGTTGCATATCTCATTTTACAAATTAGCTTTTTAATATATTAATATAACATTTGATTTCAACTTGTTTCTGTCTTTGATTCAAAACTGAGTTCCTGAATGCTTGTCTTGTATGTATGTGTGTATGTGTGTGTGAATGTGTGGTCACTCTGTGGTCTTTATATGTTGGCATGGACTGAAATTATGGGATGTAAAGACATGATGAGGCAAGGACATTAAAAAAGAAGTAGATTTCCTTCTGTTTCCTTGTGCTTGCTGGTCAATGGACCTATAAAAGACTTATAATAATGCAGTATCGCTTTGTTTGTTCTTTGCCACTAAGAGAAAGGCCTGTTTTTCAATGTCACACACATTTGATATTCCACATTAGAGAAGCTGTTTTTTTTGTAAAAAAATCTTTCTGCCATGTATTGACCACCTATTGACTATTGCTGTAGCCAAAATCAGATGCATCTTGGTGGATTTACCCCAAAATTCAAGGGTATCAACACAAATTTGTGCAGTGCCCAGCAGGTAGCGGTATATTTGCTTACATCCATGGTACTTTTTAGATTTGAACTTAAAATGGTTATAATTTTTAGCTCTCTCAAAACACAAGATACAATATTTGGATCCTAATTGTGACTCTATGCCCTAAAGTGAAGCAGATGCAGGATTCAGTAGTTTAAAACACTATAGCAAAATCTACATCTGCTTTTAGACAGGTCTGTATTTCCTGTCGTCCTCACAGGTGATTTAATGAAGAAATGCAAGATCTACAGAACATATCTTCTACAGATGCACTTTATTCTGCCTGTTGCATTGGGTCGATGTATATGTTTATGGTGTAAATACAGTACTTTATAGTGTTGCATTTTAGGGTTTTATTTGTGGAGCTGTTTGTCCCATTATGTCTTTGTTTTAGGTAAAAGCATGTTATTTTTTCCCCTTCCTCTTTTAAAAGTGTCCATTTCTAATGTATTAAATAATAAAGGTGCCAATATGTTGACATTTAAAACACCGTCCAGGTTTTGTTGAGAACATCGTTCGCTCGGCACGTTACGCGTTGAGCATTTTCTCCAATTCGGGCCACGTTGGGAGTGTTTTCTCAGAAGATTAGGAAGTCAGAGCCTTGGCTGTTCTTGGAATACAAGACAAGACTGTAAAACCTCAAATTCCTCCTGATTTAAGTCATTTTCACATGAGAAATGATGGAGCGTTATGTATTGTTGGTGGGCAGTTTGGGCCTAAAACAACTCTTTGAGATGTGAAAGTATAGGTTTGAGGTCCACTTTATAATTAAGCCTGGCTATAGCTCAGTTTTTTATTATTTGGACTTGTGCCCTTCTTGTCTTTTCATTTGTGTGCTGTGGTGTGGTTTCCTGTTCTGGCTGTATGGTATGTGAATGGCAGTTTTCAGCCATAACAGCCCGTTTCTTCTCGCACCCTCTCTGCAGACAGGAAATCAGACGCTTAAAAAAAGGACGCCAGAAATATGAAACCGTGGGTTCGTCTTTTAATCATTTTAACATAACACACAAGTCAAATGGTACAATGTACTGTACAATAAGTAAATAGGTTTGTTGTAATGTCATCTCTTTGGATCAACCAATATACAAATCTGTCAACTTTACAATGCAGCAACTGACCGCAGGTGAGCTGTGTAACAAAAAAAGCACAGTTTGTCTCCGTTATGCATTTCTTTTGTACAATTCGTCCTGTCAATCATCTTCTCCATGTTATATAAAATAGTGTAAGGTTGAATATTCCATTTTTCTGTTTTCACCTTTTTTTCCAGAAGTCGTGGTAATAAGCAAGTACTAAAAATAAAACGATTATATTGCTAAACAAGTTACATAAAAAGCTTGGAATGCAAGACTTACATTAAGCTAAAATATATCAAACTACAAGTGGATTTTGTCCTCTGCGGACATACCCATTTTCTCACTATAAGCCGAAAGAGCATTTTATTGAATCATTTTTCCTTTTCTTAAAAGTCAGATTGTTTTGTTTTACCCTAGCTTGGTTACCTCATAATTTCCCTTAATATTTTTGTTAGTATTTGGGGAGTAAAGGACAAGTGCATTGCAACAAGAGAGGAAAAGATCAATTTAACTTGGTTAATCTGTCTGTGTTGCAGAATATTGCTGGTTAAAAAAAGAAAAACACCTCTGAAAACTAAACTCAGATGCTGAGCTCCAACTATTCAGGCAGTTATTATATAAAACTTAATTTGAACCAAAAGTGCTTTTCGGGGGGCAGAGAGCTGGGAACAATTTCACACCAGTTGAACCTGCCAGCTTGTTATAAGAAATGCTGATTGAAAACACCTCAGTTATAGATGGAGCTGGAAACGTTTTTTCTTTTGTTTGTGGCAATGAGGATTTGATCAAATTTCAGAATTCAGACACAGAGAATGATTCTGAGCATGTTACTCTAACATCTATTTTAAGATTAAATGACTTCCTCAAATGTATGACAAGACAGCGTGGGAAAAGGGCCAATGCTGTTAATATTAGTGAAAATCTATCTAAAATAGTTACTCTTTTGGGAAAGGAGAAAAACAACAATTACATAAAGATGAATAAACTCTACACATTAAACTAATGGCACATACAAGATCAAATACAAAATTAAAAACATACAAGGCTTTTTTTAAAGGTTTAAAAGTGCTAGAATTCAGATCAGCTCACAGAAAACCCGGGGAGGACAAACTCAAAAATTGCCAGTAGCCTTCTTTTATTCTGTTAAACATATACCTTCCTATTTCTTAGAAATAAATGATAATTTATACATGTTTTGATAGCTTCAAGCCAAACTATGAGAATATGTACAATTCAATTTTTTTAATAGTCAAATTCATTTTAAATTACCTTTAATGTTTTTATTATTATTTATTGTAAAAATGCCAAAAAATCCATGAATGCCTATGAATCAGTATCAACCCACTAACAGAGCAGGATGAAGGGAAAACTCACTGTTTCTTATGAAACAATTATTTCTAACAAAAACACTCACAGTATAAGCAAAACTAACTCGATTATTTTTTTAGTTAGCAATTGTGCAAAAAGAAGTTTCTTCTCCCCAGGTTTTTGGTATGAAAAAAACTAATAAATGAGGTGATGCGTTGTGTTGTTGTGAGGTCCTGTTTCAACAAACAGAAAATAATATAATGACAAAACGACTAGGCAATATCCCAATCAAATGTCCCATGCTTTGAATGTCAAAGACCAGGCTGGTGACTTCTTTGTGTCTCTTTTCAGACCCTTTTCATAAAATGTTCATTTGAATCAAAGCAGCTGAAGAACAGAGAAAACGGACAAACAGTTCACGTGTACTGTGCATGTTTTCTGCTAAAAGATCATTTGCAGTTTAAAATGTTTCCAGAGTGGTCTATGGTTGCTGGCAACCACAGCACAATGAGCAGCATAATATTGTTTTGTCTTAGTTTTGCGATGTGGCCTTTTACCTTTCTATGGTCTTTCCTGCTTGTGAGATATTCACATTCACTATAAACACAGATGTGGACACAGAATAGATTTAGCCAAAGGGATGAGGTGAAGAGAGGGAGAGAAAAATACATCTGTTTGTATGAGGCACTGCTTTCACTGCTGGTATGTTGATCATCTGTTTCTTTGCACACAACTCTTCCTCGCATGGCCATTGGTAATGAATGGTTATTTGGTAAGAACTTGTGCAGTCCACTTGCTGGGAAGTGACAACTTGTAAGAGATTGTATGACAAAACCCCTCAAAATTTCTGTTTTCGTCATATTAAACTAAACCTACAGCAACTGGAATTGCGGTTTCAGCCATTTCAGTGCGACCGTGTATATGATCGTGGAGGTTAAAAACTGTACAACCAAACACACAAATAGACAGCACGAGTAAGGTCTGATCGAATACTGAGAACAAAAAACGCAAACTGAAACCTGGATCACATTATGGGCATCTAGTTCATGCTCTAAAGATTAAAGACTAGTCCATTCTACTGGATTATGCCACTATTAGTCTAGTATATGCAGGTAAAATCCCATTTTATTCATCTCGCATGGAAAAACAAGGAACAGGAAACGCTATAGGGAAAAGCTAATACTTCATCCATTTTGTTCAATAAGATGCAAGATACATAATTCTGTAAACCTGCTAGATATTTTTTTTTAATCCATCAGCAATTTTTTAATACAACTATCTAAATTACAAAATATACTGAAAAAGAAGCAATTATAATATATATTTTTGATGTGGTACTTCGTACACTGCAAAAAAAAAATCTTGTTTTTGTTTTGTCTTTTTTCCATTCACATATACCAGGGTTATCATTACAATGTATCTCTCTAAAATAAAAACCTACCTAAAATACTTTTTTTATTCTTAAAATACATATATTTATATCATGATCTGGTGGGATATTGTTGCCACGGAGACTTAAAATTAGTGCTGGAAGGAGGAAAACCGTCTTGAGACTCGGATTGCTGTGGAGTATTCAAAGGTACTTGGGTTGTTTGAACTTTGTGTGTGTGTCTTAAAATTAATGGCAGTCTATTTTCAGGAAGCGTGAAGGTAGAGTGGGGAAAAGGAGGGGATTTCAGTGGGTCATCTTGGCAACCCAAAGAGGTCAAGTGCCTTCTGCTGTAAACAAAGTGCTTCTTTTGAGAAAAATTGTAAACCTGTAAGATAACGTAAAATTTCTTTTCCTTTAGTTCTGTCAGTGATCACATTGTACCAAATTAACAAATTGTGCAGTTTATTTTACCCTCTTTGCCTTTCTATTTTCAGTCCCTCTGCTTCTTTCACATAAAAACTACTTACCGACCATTCCAACAAGTGTAAATTTGTATTATCAACACAAAAATGCTGGACGAACACATTTTTAGATGACATTTTCATCTAATCAGGTACACAGTATTTGTTTTTAAACTGCTTTTGAAATTCATATGTGAATCTGTAATAATAATGACTTGATTGATATAGATATATAAACTAATAAACAACTAAATTTGGAATAACCAATTTCACTCCTTCATTCCTTCCCTAATTCTTCCACTCCTGGCCATGAAGACGGTTTTAGTTTAAGGGCAACCAGCAATTACCTGACTTATAATCTTAATAGAATAGAGACAATATAGTAAAGTCAGGCCTCACATTTGGAAAAGAAAACGAAATTCATATATCACTTCAAACTAGTCTTTCAGAGTCTCAAAGACGGATTATCTTTTCTACATTAATCTTTTCCTTTTTCTACTAATATTATTACTTTATAAAGTATGCAGTACCATGCCTTATGGCCTACTGATGCTGCTGTCTAACTACAAAATTGTAGGAGAGGGGATGGTGGGAGAGGTTCAAAAGGGTATTAAAAAATCATAGCTAATATTCAGACAGCCTAAATAAAAGCTCCATGATATTTCATATGCTTGTTTTCCTCCAGGCTCATTACAAAGCTGTTGTGCGCTTTTGTTAAGGCTTATATATGTTCAAGTGTTCTACCTCCCCACCCCTAGGGCGAGCACTAATGCTCCTCTGCCCTGAGCCCCTGTGGCAGGCTAGGTTGGGGACCTCATTGAAAGGCCTGGTGAAAGCGAGGCAGAGTGGTCGTACTGAGGCTAGAGCTGAACACTGGTGGGAGTGGGTGCAGAGACCCAAGACTGAGACCCCCACCGGAGCCTGGTTGCTCCTGAGGTTGAGGTTGCAAAGAGGTAAGAGGCACTGCAGCTGTGGCAGCATGTGGTTCAGCAGCATGCGAAGATGCTGACAACGATGAGGAAGAAGAGGAAGAAATTGTGGAGGATGTGGAGTAACCCATGACCAGTCCTCCTGAACTCATGGGGGCACCGTAGGGTTGCAGACTGAGTGGAACAAAGCTCAGCAGATGAGAAAAGTCCATGTTAGCAGCACACAAAGACTCAGCAATGACAGCGGGGCTCTTGGACATGAGGGGGTCCCCGCAAAGGTCATCCGACAGTCCCGCCGGAGGTTCCATACCCTCCTTATTGGGCGAAGCTGCTGAGTGGGGGTCGATTGAGGGCGGCGGAGGAATTGGGAGTCCACTCTGTAGATCCATCAGGAAACTGTCCATCTCCACCTTCAGGGGCTTCTCCAGCAGGTATGAGGTAGATCCGAGCTGGTACTTGGGCGGTGGCTGAGGGTGCTGTTGTTGCTGGTTTTGCAGGGTAGGCTGCTGCTGGTGTGGAGGTGGGGAGTGGTGATGATGGTGAGGGTGGTGATGGTGATGATGATGTGGGTGATGGTGGTGCAGTGACGATGGGGGCTCCATATGGCAACCCATCCCCATGGCAGTGGATAAAGACCCTGGAACCAGTGAGTGATGGTGGCCCACACCAGGATTGGACATGGCCTGGAGATGATGAGGGTTGTACATGCCCATGGGAAAAGGGGTGGCACCATGGAAAGGCTTTGCCATCATCGAGTCCTTGATAGGTCCCATGCTACACATCATAGGACTTATCTTTTCTTTCACAGCACAAGGTGAAGAACCAGACCCAAGTAAACCCAACATATCCGGAGACTCTGTCTTGATCTTCAGCAACTCCTGCGAGTGGCTCTTCTTGACATGCCGCGTCAGATGGTCCTTCCGCCCGAAACGTTGGGCACAGTACTGGCACAGGAAGTCTTTGCGTCCCGTGTGAACCACCATGTGTCGGCGAACATCCTTTCGTGTATAAAAGCGGCGATCACAGTGGTCACAAGGGTGTTTCTTCTCCTTGGCACCACCTGAAGACTTGCCTGAGTGGCTCTTGAGGTGCTCCAAGAGTGCAGGCGTGCTCTCGTAGCTTTGCAAGCACACCTTACAGGTAAGATCACCGGCTGTGGCTGAGTGCATGGCCATGTGGCGCTTGTAGCCCAGCTTTGTGTTATAGTGTTTGCCACACTCCTCGCACTTAAAGGCCTCTTTGTTGGGGTCGTGAGTCTGCAGATGGTTTTTCAGGTGATCTTTGCGGTGAAACATCTTTTCACAGAATGAGCACTGATGAGTCTTCTGTGGGGAGTGTGTGGCCATATGCCTACAAAGGAGACAAAGACAGTCTTTAGCTAAAGACTAACAGACAAAGGTACATTGGAAATTTCTGTTAAATGAATTCATCATTGCATTCATCAAGTTCAGACCAGACCGCAGGGGGACGCTCTCAAGCAGTAGTGTCTACTCCTGCCCTTGGATGACCACCTTCCGGCATAATTTAGCTCCAAAACACCTGTCTGCAAGTTTCCAGAAATACTTCTAAACGACACATGCGCATGACGCTGCTGCTTACGTAATACGCACATGCGTTAGCTTGCACATGCGTCGTTTACATGAAGCGGAAGCAAGCGCATGCGTCCTGATACTCTTTCCACAATGTTGAATAAAGTCATTAATTTTGTTTTCTTTGCACACAAAAAGTATTCTCGTAGCTTCCGGTTGAACCCCAGATGTCACATGGACTATTTTACTGATGTCCTTGCTACGTTTCTGGACCTGGGAACATTGCAGTTGTGTTGCTGTCTATGAAGAGTCTGAGAGCTGTCAGATTTAATAAAAAATATCTTAATTTGTGTTTTCTGAAGATGAACAAAGGCCTTACGGGTTTGGAACGGCATGAGGGTGAGTAATTAATGACAGAACTTTACTTTTTGGGTAAACTATCCCTTTAATTAGGGTTTGAGCTAAACTTTGCAGGACAGTGGCCCTCCAGGAACAGGATTGGACTATACCCCTTTATACCAGTGGTTCTCAATTCCAGTCCTCGCGTACCACCATTTTGCACTATCCTTTTAACACAATAAACAACAAAAATGACAGCAATGAGAGAATCTGATCATAGGGATGAGCTTCATATTTTCACTCATGCCTGACCACGACAAACTGAGTGAAAAAATACACCTGAAAAGATTTCACTGTTAAAGAAGGTAGAGCCCCAGAGCACTCCCATCTATGATTATTTAATTGCCATGGACCAATGGCAGTTCAAAGCTTTTTAACAACAATTAATTCTTCCATTACACTTGAAGTATACTGTGGCATTTACATGCAAGTATCACCTACCTAAAGAGCTTATATTTGGAGCTGAAAGCTTTAGGGCAATGGGGCTGGGAACAGTGGAAAGGTTTCTCTCCTGTGTGACAGAACGCGTGGAGCCGGAGCTTGTCCTGTGAGCTGAAGAGGGCACCGCACACCAAACACTCGTCCCCACTGCCTCTCCCTCCCCTCTCCCTCTCTTTCTCGTTCTCTGTCTCTCTTTCCGTCCTCCCTGCAGCGGGACCTCCAAACACTTTGGTGGCACCTCGTCGTTCCTCGTCCTCCAGCGTCAGTGTGGCAATATGGTGTGAGGCATCGGTGGCAGCTGCTGCCATGGCAGCCCTAGGGTGCCGTTGCCATTGAAACTCGGCCGTGGCTGCCTTGCCTTCCAGGCTCTGGTTCGATATCGCGGCTACGTTTAAGGGGACGCAGGCTCCAAAATTGTCTGCAATCTGTACAACATGTGACCAACAAAACCAAAAATGAATAAACATAAGATAAAGCTGATTCTTTTTTTGTTGTTTGTTTTAAGCATGTCAATGTTTTTTCTTACACGTAGGGAGACAGCTAAACAGCACTTACCCTTTTTATATGTGCTGAAAACTTAAGTTAAGTGCTTTTCATGTCTTTTTCGTTTACCTTCACGCTCTCATCCAGTCCCACCTGCCATGACTGGAGCCGAGTGGGTGACAATACTACTCATCATTATCTTCACCCTTTCATAAAAACAGAATAAAAAAAGACATACATCATTGATTAGTTTTTTTTTAAATTTCAAATATTTAAAAGTAACACTTTAGGTTTGTTAACATTAGTTAACAGGATCAATACTTTAACAGCATTGATTAAACATTTAATCACAAGTTGTACATTTTACCATTATTTGCATTAAGAATTAACAATAAACGATATTTGTATATTATAAATATGTTAATAAATCAATCTACAATTTATAATTATAAACATGAATAAATATTAATAAATGCTTCATGTTCATGGTTGATCAACAGACATTTCCAACAATAAAAGCATTATATATCTGACATTATGGGCTCCTTACATCAATATTAGGGAAAAATGTGCAACTGCCTGTGGACATACTGTTAACTGTTCTAAAACACGTTTACTGTGTCACTATACCAGCCAGAGGGCAGTAATGTACAGAACTGTTAATAAACTGGGCAGTATCAGTAGTTGGCAATTCTTCTCTTGCTATACTGCATCAACAATTGAGGTGCACAAAGTAAGCTTTGTGTGTCCATGCATGTTCTGTCATGCATGTGTGTACATGTACTCCAGTGTTATGAAACAGTGTAAGGCTCCTGTAATCCTAAAGCAAACACAGGCACAAAGCTACCTCTAGGGATGTCAAATAAATTAGACCTTAAATAGCACTACACGTTACACAGAAAAATGTACACTTCAGTAAAACCCCATGGCACAAGTATCACATGATATTACCCCTCTGTAATTTTAGCATAGTTTATACGACCTTGATTTTATTATGCACTGGTGTACTTATGCAAGATAACATGTCCACTGGTGCTAAAAAAAAAGTTCATAATTCATTTAGAATTATTAAGCATAGTGTTTAAGACAATAACAACTGATTAAGAAAGACTATCACACCATGGCATAAGGTGATAAAACAGTTCAAAGCTGTCTATAGACATTATAGGTTTTATAAATAACCTGAAATCATTGTGTTAATTTGTTAATTAAAAAAAATGTCCAGGTACAAATTACAGACAGGGAATTGTCTAGATATATTGGAGCATTTTAAAAACATCAGTATGATCTTTTGATAGTTATGCACTTTTAGGCAGACACTTTAAAAATGAATTATTGTAACTAACTGCAAAGACTCTCTTACATATGAGAAATCCCTAAGGCTCAATAAAAAACTAAACTAAAAATCAAGGCTTCTTTAGTATTAACATCTGTCTGTATGATTTATATGTGAAGTCAACATGCCGTTTCCTGTAATGTAATGTTGAGGGACAAAATCAGACAATCATCAATGAATTATGGATGATTCATTGATTATGGATCAATGGATACAGGCACATTTGAGATGATGTTTTGTACAAAAAGCCAAAATCATACAGAAGGAAACCCACCGCAGTACCACCCTTCTCATGCTACTGGCATATCAGTACCTCTAGGGGCATTAATTCATACTTCCTATGCTTTAGCAGGGAGTGAAACACATATCTCTTTACTGATTGTTACATTACTTTTCTTTAGTATTAAGTACTGAGCATTTAACATCAGTATGGAGTATTATGCATTACCATCCCTTTACTGATGAATGCATCACTCTATTAATTATCAGTACGTGGTATGATATAGAGTATTATTTATTTCTTGATCTCTCATGAGCGTCAACCTCTAGTCAATGACTATTTTGGTTAAAGTTCAAAATCCACCTGCTCCCTGCTGACCACACAGTTGTTAATGTGGCAAAAACAATGCATAGTCACATGAGCCTAAAATTTAAACATTTACAAACACACACAGGTTACTCCTGTCATACAATGGACTTCATAACCAAACCACTGAGTATTTATTTGTTCATTTGTTGAGGTCAACGATCAATACTTTTAATTAGCAAGGATGCACAAAACTGACAGCAAATGCTTTTATGTCACAAAAGATTTATTTCAAATAAATGCTGCTCTTTTGAACTTTCTATCCATCAAAGAATCCTGAAAAAAAACGCAGCACGGTTTTCACAAACATATAAAGTACCACAATTATTTGAACGATAATAATAAAAAAATTTCCTTAACAGCCAATCAGCATATCAGAATGATTTCTGAAGAATCACGTGACCCACTCTTCATCCAATCAAATCACCAATGATAAACTTTATGGGTTTTTTTCCCTCATTGATTACCTTGTTTTATTCAGAAACAAGTCACATTACAGAAGTAAACGAGTCCCACATGACAATTCATGTTGATTTTAAAGGAGTATGTTTATCCATATGTATGTGGATAAGAGGAAGTGACAGCTGTGTGACGCTGCTGCAGTCGTCACCCAGCGGGGGACACTACTCCATTCAGCTGCTCCAGGGAGCCCTGCGCCATTGTCATGCTACTCCACCGCAAACATTCTACATGCATACATCCCATCCGTCACACAGCACATCTAGCCTAACCTGCTGTATGCACACAAAAACAAACAATTCTGACACTACACCCAAAATACTATCCATTAGGAAGTGACCAACAATTTTGCGTTTCATTAGAGTTTGACACATCAGTTAGTGGTGGTGGGCGCTTTATATATGACCATCCTCTCTGTAGGCCACACAAACTCACTCTCACTGAATGCTGCCACAGAGAGGGGAACTGGCCATCTATATTGGCTGCGTGAGTGTGTCTGAGGTTTTGTTTTGAGATTAAAGGGTTTTCACATTCCTCTGGCCCAGGGGTCAAAGGTCACCGTGTACACCATGCTGCCTCCTGTGTGCAGGTTTAAACAAAAACAAACAATTCTGACACTACACCCAAAATACTATCCATTTAGGAAGTGACCAACAATTTTGCGTTTCATTAGAATTTGACACATCAGTTAGTGGTGGTGGGCGCTTTATATATGACCATCCTCTCTGTAGGCCACACAAACTCACGCTCACTGAATGCTGCCACAGAGAGGGGAACTGGCCATCTATATTGGCTGCGTGAGTGTGTCTGAGGTTTTGTTTTGAGATTAAAGGGTTTTCACATTCCTCTGGCCCAGGGGTCAAAGGTCACTGTGTACACCATGCTGCCTCCTGTGTGCAGGTTTAACCCCTTCTGTCCAAAGGCAGCGAGTGAGAGAACAGCTAATTCAAGGTCACATACACAGTCAAATACAGGCAGTGTGCCAGATTCTGATCAATTACACTGTTACAGTGAGCTTATAGTCAAATACATGAGAAATCTGCACATTTCCACAGAAATTAAATAGCCATATTTTTTTTTTACACCAGCCGTTTATGATTATCTATTAAAATATTTTACTTTTTATCAGGCGTTTTTAACTACTATGTATTTATGTACAGTTGTATGTACAATGTACTTATTATGTTCATGTAGTATTGCAAAACACTTCTGCTGCTATTGAGGAGGGATACGGGTAAGGTTTAGTGGTATGGTTAGGTTTAAGGCTGGGTTAAGTGGTAGAAGTTAGTTAAAAAGCAAAATTATATATGTAAATACAGAAATTAAAGATACAATTTCAATACAATGTAAAACATGCATGTACAGAAGTACAACGATTTAAAGATTAATTTCAATGTTAGTACATAGTAGTTGAAGAGTATGACTAAAAATCTTCAGAAGACGTTTAACATGGTACAGTGAGGGAAAAAAAATTAATTCTTAAATTTTAATAAAATTTCTTGCCTTTTTTGTATTCTAACCACTTACGTGGCAAATTTAAACCTTCTAAACATTCAAAACACTAAACACAGTACTGTGGTAATTTGATTAAAACCTAAATTTTAATTAGTGGTCGACCGATATTGGTTTTTTGACTGCCGATGCCGATATCTTGGAAAGCCGGGGTGGCTGATGGCCGATATAAAGCCGATATAATTGTATTTATTTTAATTAATATTTAAGAAATTTGAAATAATTTGAAAATGGATTCAAAAATAATTTTGTAAAATAAATGATTGACAAAGTATTTTCCACAAATAAATAAATATTTTTTATAATTTTATAATTAAAAATGAAGTAAACTATAACCAACAGAGCACTCAATATTCTGGGAAGTTTGTGTGCATTGGGAATCATATTTTTTCAAATAAACCCAAGGTAACATTCATAACACAAATCATACATACAGCACACAGTGAAAATGACATGAATATGACAGTGGGCAAGTTTAGCATAATTTGAAACTAAATCAAATCACGAATTTATGTTTAAAGCATTCAATTTGCACGGACCGAAAGTCACGCATAGAACATGCGATCATGCAGGTCACATGCACACTTCACAAGATCTCACAACTGGATTTGACTAAGTTTGCAAGGTTTGTTAAATTTTCATTAGCCATTCAAAGATTTGTTTAAATGATGTAAATGTGTATTTGCTGAATGCTGACGGCAAACGAGAAAGTATTATAATGTTTGCCTTTCTATTACTAATAATATAAAAGCAATCTTTGTAATACTTTTTTTATACATTTTAATTCCTTTGTTTAACAGTTCTATCGGATTATTAGACAGACTTCTATCCATATTAGACAGAACTGAACGATGACAGCGAACAGGGAGAATGTGAGCACTGTGTGCTCAGGCGCTGCCGCACTCAGCGCCGTCAAAATAAAAGTCCAGCCTCGAAACACATCGGCCAAACAGAAAAACGTATCGGCCAATGCCGATATTTGTAAAACGCCAAATATCGGCTGATATATCAGCCTTGGCGATATATCGGTCGACCACCAATTTTAATGCAAAATATCAGTACTTGGTCCATAATAAGTATCACTGCTAGCATGAATATATTCTGGCCTAATTCAATGCAATCAACTATCAATAGAAGTAATGCTTACAAGATGTTCACAAGTTGGCAGAATCATTTTCTATAACTATTTTGTTTAACTTAGACTAGAGCTACAGTATTACGAATATTTTATTTAAATATATATAGAAGATATAATATTGACTCCAGCAAAATACTTTTTATTACTAGAAGAAATAGAGAGAATATTAAGAGTACATAAATAAAACCTTAAAGAGAGCCTTTTCTTGAATGTTTGTTTATGAAGACGATTTCAGCTGAAATAAGGACTGCCTACTCCTGTCATGCAGTGACTTTTAAAAATGCAAATGTTTGCAAAACATCTACCCAATCAGAGAGCACATCAAAAGGTCAGTGAGTACATTTCTGTTGAACTTCCACCAGGTGGGAGGGACATACAAACAAGAAAGATGATTTGATTTGATCTGCACACAAGTACAAACTTTACCTGTCCTGGACACAAATAAACTGAATTTATTCACTCAAATCGCAAACCAAAAGTCAAAATATTTCATTTGACATGCAAACCACATCCGTTTCACTTATGAGTCAGATCAAATATACTCAGTCCCTAGGCAAATTAGAAAGTAATAGATAAATAAGTCACAAGAAACCAATAAAACACCAAAATTGAGACATTTGTTCAATAAACAGACAGGGCTATGTGAACCCAAGCCTCAGTCTTCACGAGTCTCACGTCTGTGAGGGGTTTATTAACACAGAGGCACACGACTCTCAACGTGTTCCGGAAAAAAAAGTTCAGTTACCAAAAATAGCCCGTGAGTTCACCATACTGAGCTAAAGTGACAACAGCCACGCTCGAGAGAGGGAGACGAGTGAGATTACGAGTGTGGTAGTTAAGCAAAGCAACAGATGGCACAGAGAGCGAGTGAGAGAAAAGAATGTCAGAGAGGAAGGAAAGAGGAAGGAGAGAAAGAGAGAGAGAAAACAAATAGAAAGAGAGGGACGGTATAATATAATATAATGTGATGTATAAACTACCAATCAAAAGTCTGCCGTGTGTAAAATCTTCTCTTGTGTTTTTGACAGAAGTCTCTTATGATCACTAAGGCAGCATTTATTTGATAAAAAATACAGTAAAACATTTATATTGTGAAATATTATTAATTAAAATTTTAAATAACTGTTTTCTATTTAACATATTTTAAAATGTAATTTATTCCTGTGATGCAAAGCTGAATTTTCAGCATCATTACTCTAGTCTTCAGTGCCACATGATCCTTCAGAAATCATTCTAATATGCTGATTCGCTGCTCAAGACATTTCTTATTATAAATGTTAAAAAACACTTGAGCGGTATATTTTTTTTGTTTAATATTTAAAAAATCTTTGGTAAAAAATGTATTTTTTGTCACTTTTGATCAATTTTATGCATCCTTGCTAAAGAAAATAATAAAACTTCTGTCTAATTTAAAATAAAATCAGCAACTTTTGAATGCTATATATAGAAAAAAGATGCTTTTTTCCAAATAAAATTATGTGGTTGCAGCATCTACCAGCTAATAGGGTCATGCTTGCCAGGTACACCTTGACCCTTTAAGTCATACAACGGAATCTGGTTATTTTGGGTGATGACTTACAAGTATAAAAAAATTAAATATTATGATCCAGACCATATTTTACTAACAAATTACGCAAACCTGAGAAAGAAAGAAAGTGCATGCAATAATGAAAGTGAGTGACTGTGAGAAGAGCAGCCTGCTCATAGAAACCTACAGTTTAAAAATAACAATAGTTTATTTGCCTATGACTAGCTAACAAACACAAAGCTGCCACAACAGCTTCTCCATCTATGATGCCAACAAAAACGGCACAGCTATCTTGCTTTCTCTCTCCCTCTCCCTTCATGTGCCATTCCTGTGGTTAAAGTGGGCACATATGTGGTTTAAAGAAAAATAAAAGGATTAAAGTTCTATTGAGGTGGGATTGCAAAAAAAACAATTAATCACGTCATCCAAAAACACTCCACTGAAAGTCTCTCCCAGCAACATGACAGAACAGATACATAGAGCACCACTGCAACATTTAAAGGGATAGTTCACCCAAAATACATATGTGGTTTAAAGAAAAATAAAAGGATTAAAGTTCTATTGAGGTGGGATTGCCAAAAAACAATTAATCACGTCATCCAAAAACACTCCACTGAAAGTCTCTCCCAGCAACATGACAGAACAGATACATAGAGCACAACTGCAACATTTAAAGGGATAGTTCACCCAAAATAACAAAATTCTGCAATCTGTCATTTACTCACTCTCATGTCATTTAAAACCTTTATGGCTTTATTTATTTGGTGGAACACAAAGGACGATATTTTGATGAATGTTAAAGGGGTCATATGATGCTATTTTAAAGATAATTATTTGGCGTATTTGGTGTAACAGAATATGTTAACATGCTTTAATGTTCAAAAAACACATTATTTTTCAAATACTGTACATTATTGTAGGTCCTCTATGCTTTCAACAAAGCCCCCTCCTTTGACAAGCGCAGTCTGCTCTGATTGGCCAGCTGACCCAGTGCATTGTGATTGGCCGAACACCACAAGCACGTGTTGGAAATGTAACGCCCCTTACAATAATCGCGAGCGTCAGCTTTCAAAGTAAATATCAAGACAGTTAATAATGTTGTTAGTTTTACCATCAGTTCAAGCCCGAAAGGGCAACAGAGTCGCGTGACAGACACAGTGATGATGCAGTACACAAGCCGCGGTTAAGACAGCTGACGTGCTATGATTTCTGACAGGCAGTTCACTCTCCTGTGATGTGACCC